GACGATGGCCAGATTCGGCTCCTATGACAAGGCAAGGTTTAGGGCTTATAGGGCTTAGGGTTTAGGGTTTAGGGTTTAGCCTAAACCCTAAAGCCCTAAACCCTAAACCCCTAAACCCTAAACCCTAAACGGCTTCAGGGTTCAGGAGCTGTAGGAGTCAGGGTTTCGGGTTCAGAATTTTGGGTTTACGGTCTCGGGGGGGCTGAGGCCGAGGGTGTTGAAGACTCCAGGTTTCAAGCGGCATTTAGGATTCCCAAGGGGATTAGGGTTTATGGTTTAGGATTCTTTGAAGGGGATTGGGGATTCGGGTTTAGGATTCCTTGAAGGGGATTAGGGATTAGTGATTAGGGTTTAGGATTCCTTGGAGGGGATTACAAGAGACCCTGGAGTGTAATTGGGGACTGGTGGATTTACGGGTTCAAGGGATTTTTTAATAGTTAGGGCTTCGGTTTTGGTCTTCAGACTCAGTTCGACAGTGGTGATGAAATTCTTCAATGGTTTACAAAACCCTAAACCCTAAACCCTGCTGCCAATGATGCCCATTGGACGCTAGGTGTGGCGCTACATGCGCTTGACCGGGCCACTCAATCGTTACATAAGGTTCGATGTGGACTCGCAGGGAGATTGAATCCGGAAATTGCGCTCATGCCTGTGGAGGTTGAAGACAGAGGGGAAGCTATGAGAAATTGTCATGGGCTTGTCTTTGCGGCGTGCCGAACGGCTTTGTTTGGGGCCCAAGACGGCCTTTCAGATGCCTGGGTCCACCCTGACCTTCTACCAGAACCGCTCCGGAGAACCACGCTACCGCAGCAGGCAGCTGCGCAAGGAACAGCAGCCCGACTTCGCTCTAGATCCCCGAAAACCTCTAAGGTGAGGCGGAGTGCCGACGTGAGCCCACCCGCTGAGGAGGATGAGGATAGTGCCTGCCTCATGGACACAGGTAGAGGAAGGCACCGTGATTCGTGCAGCCCGCGCCGAAACGCCGAGTATGGTTCCTCGAGCTGGAGGGATGCAGAGCCGGGCACAAGGTCCAGGGGCGGAAACCGAGGAGAAGGTGGACGACATGGAGATCGACGCCATGCGGATGAGGGTAGACGGGGTCGAACAATAGTCGAGACGCGTGAGACCAGGGTTCTTGAGCCGCCACGACATTGTCCTCGCCGAGATGACCGTCCTGACAGTGGTGGCCGTGCTGTACAACATGGGAGGAGTTCGGGAGGGCACGGGGCTCGACCCGGATCGTCTACGGATGCCACACCGACAGTGAATCCAGACCCCACGGGCTTAGACGGTGCAGTGGAGACGTGGAGGTACCTCCTGGGCCTCACCAACGTCTGGCCGCCACCAACGGTCATCAGTGAAGGTGGCCCGTTTCTCACGAGAGACACCCAGGATGGCATCGTTGCGTACATGAGGGATTTGGACCCGCCCGGGCAGATGATGATGACCCTGGGGTTTGTGCACCTGCTGCGGTTCCTCATGGTTGAAGTGTCTGAAGCCTGCCACATGGCCAGTGTTCTCTCCAATGGTGTTCAGCCACGCGAGTTGGAGCCGGATGACACAGTGGAGGTTGAGGTTGAAGAAACGGGGTTGCTGCAGATTCTCCTGGTCCCGATTGATGATCAGGTGGATGAGGTGATCATGGTCCAGACCCGGGTTGAACAGGACAGGCTTGATCGCTGGCACAGGCTACTGACGACGCTGCAGAGGCAACTGGTGACGCAAGCAAAGCCAACACGCCAGGCGCACATCAACCACCTACGAGCTCGCCTATTCCATGTTGTAACTCCCCCGCACTGGACGGAAGAACAGGACCAGTTCAATGCGCTCCTGATTGGTATGACTGATGAGGTGGAAGTGCAGGGCGGTACCGTCGACATGATGTGGTTGACGGAGTGGGGTACGCTTCTCGAAGACTACATGCCGGGCATTCGCGAGCACGTCGTCATCAAGCCTAAGGTGGTTGCAGTTGAGGACAGCTTGGACAGTGCCCCGACGACGAACCAGCAAGAGTTGGTCCCTGAAGATGAGGTGGATCGTCATGTCCGTGAAGAAGCTGAAGAACGTGAGGCTAGAGAGGCCGAAAACATGGCGGCAGAGCAACAAGTTCAAGAACACGAGGCAGAGGTGGAGTTTTACCGTCAGGCCGAAGACCAAATGCTCAAGTTTCAGGCGGCACAGTACCAAGCGTGGGAGGATTGGGAGCTTCAGGCTGCAGAACACCGGTCGTTGGGCAGGGCTATCCCGGCAAGGCGTAAACGGTGTGTCCTGGAGTTGAATGTGAAGACCACGGGGGAAGGGGCGTCGGGGTCAAGACGCTTTGTCTTCGATGTGCCGGAGGAGGGCTCCATAGACGTGAATGTTCGTGCTACGGTGGTTGATGATGTGCCGGAGTCGGAGATTTCCACAGTGGTTGTTCATCCACCGTCGACTGCAGTGGCTGGGCAATGTGGTGTATTGGGCGGTAAATGACCAGTCGTACTCGAACAATCAGCACTACTACCAGCAGTGGTGTCGGGGTGAATTGACCGGAGAAGAAGTTCAGCAGCTAGTGGGGGAGGAGGTCTACGAGATGATGCAAGTGCAGTATGTTGCTGAGCAGGCTGAGCAAGACGTGAGTGACCAAGGGGATCATGCAGATGTTGGGGGTCGGCCGCCGGATGTGCAGAAGGGTCAAGAATGACATCAAGGAGTACATGATTGTCTGAGAGCATAAGGGTATCTCATAATCGTCTCGTCTGAAGCAGACGTTCCTGCGGACCCATTGGGCTGACGGAAAAAGGCGTTTTAAAAAAACAAACCCTAAGCCCAGGGTTCCTCAAAATTGAGGCCGGTCAGTCAGTTTAAGGGTTCAGGAGCTTTCGGATGCAGAGATTAATGTTCGGAATTCGGGGGTTTAGGACCTTAGGATGCGGGGGGAGTGCCACGATGAAGGGTCTAGGATTTCCGGGCTGTTGGGTTTCGGGGGTTCTTTGGAAGTCTTTGAGGCTTATTCTAGGAAGGCCCGAGAGTGTGAGGACTAGGGCACTAAGTGTTTGAAATTAGTATACCTTAGTGGTTGAGTAGGTACCCTTTAACCTTTTGGGGTTTATATGATCCTACCATAATTGAAAAGGTTAACATTTCTTGGGCTAGGGTACTCAGCCCCTAAGATATAGTTTATACTATAGAAGTTTCATGGTACTTGATACTGATAGGTGCA